CTTGGGGAGGGAGGGAGGGAGGGGGGAGATTCCCGGGGAAGAGGTGCGCTCTCGGCTCACTTCTGCTGCAAGAGAGCCCCGAAATTGGGAGTACCCTTGGCCACGCCCGGAATGGGCTGAGAGTAAGCGGGCCGCCCCGCGTTTCCCTCCCCTGGGCAGGCAGGTACCTGCCACCGCCCAGACAAGGGGCCGAGAGGTGCACCTAAGGCCTTGGCGGGTTTGCATAACTGGCGCAACCAAGGCTCGCCCTTCTCCCGTCTAAGCCTCTTCCCTCATTTGGCCAAGAAAGGCTTCGCTACCCCCAGCAGAGGAGCTGGTGGGGGCAGGCCGGACGGCCTCCCGGGATTGGGACGCGGCTGGCTGCAGGTTCTCTGAAAGTCCGTCTCCCGGGTCCTCTCTCTTCCGAAAGCGCGACAGGCTGGTCTGGCTGGCTTCTCGGGGAGGCCCAGCATACTTCGAGCTCTCCTGGGCCCGAAGGAACAGTCGCCATCGCCTCCAGGGACCGCAGGCTCCCCCACGCCCAGGCTTTGCTGAAGGAGAGCCTCGGTGAGCTCCGGGATCCCTCCCGATTCTTTCCCTCGGGAGCTTCCGGCAGGCGCCTGGCGGCTTGGTCGCCGCTCGTCCTGGCCTGCCAGTCCAGGCGGCCGAATCCCGCCTCCGGCGCGTTCACTGGTTTCGGTGCCAGCCGCTCTCGCCCCAGTTTGTATCCACGAAAAGGTGGGGGGGGGCGGAGCGCCCTGGGGCCGTTTCTGTTCCTGGCCCTTTGGCTTCCTGTTTGAGGCGCGTTGTTGCTTCCCAAGCGCGGAATCCTTAAAAGTTGCGCCCCCCAGGCGGCTTTCTTTCCCAGCTGCGCCCGAGAACCATTTTCATTTCCGTCAAGTGGATCCCTCGTTCCCTGGGCATGATGTCCTGCTGCCGGGGCTGCGTTTTCGCGATTCGTGAGGCTAGCTTGCCCTCACAGGATTGATCCTGTTGTGAAATCTAGCTGTAGGTTTGGTAAAGTTGTGCGAACCAGAAGAGGCTCCTTTGCTTTGCCTGGGAGGGCGCAGAAACGGCCTTTGGTTGGCCCGGTATTGTGTGGAGGCGGTTGAGCCGTCTCTGCGAGGGCTTAGTAAGGGCAGCCGCGGGGCGGAGGGAGGGAAGAGCGACTAATCCTAAACGGCCTTTTCTGGGCACGAGTGAAAGGTTTCCTGTTGTGGGGCATAAGCCGGTGTCCCTGGACTCTCTCTTCCTCCGCCGGCCGTTCTCTTGACCGGAAGGTTACTTGCAGAAGAGGCTCCGCGCAATTTTTAATGGGTACTTTTGGAGGGTAGTTCAACCACATCCCAATCCTGCCCCCCAGCCGTAGGCCAGCTCTCCCCTCGGCGACCACGGCGAAGAGAGACGTCGCTCGCCGCTGCTTGGTTCGACCTGCTGAGGAACTAGGCCATTTCCTGAACGTCCCGCCAGCTTCCACGCGTGGGAGCTGAATCCCCGGAAAGAACCTGCTCAGCCTTCTCCTTCTCTGGGGCGCAGCGAAAGTTCAAGACAGGCCAAATGAACTGAATTTTGCAAGAATCAATGTGGCTTCTGGTGCGCTTCGCATTACCGAGTCAACGTTTGGCCCTGGAGAGGGGAACTCGACCCCGCAACTCGGCCTCCTCCGCCGTTAAAACCACAAAGAAGCCCTCGCGGGTCGTTTATTTCTGCGTCCGGAGCACAAGAGCGAAGCCTTTCCCCGAGGCGGCTTTTCATACCTGCAAACAAGAGACGAGTGCGCGGCGATTTCCCGAGCAGCGGGCTCTGGGCGGTTGATCGGGAGATAGCAGCCCGGAAGATTTACTACCCTCCAAGCTTCAAACCAGCGGAGACTCTCCGCTGCCTGGGACTGCGGTTTTCTGACCAAGCGCTTCCAGAGGGAGACTTCGCAGCACAAAAAGGGCCCGAGACACCCGCGGATCGCCGTCACCGGTGAGCAAGGTGCTTAGGGGAGTGTTTTGTACGATTCCCCCGCTCTCTGCACTGCGGTTTGACGTGCGGTAAGGAGAGAGGGGGGGAGGCCAAGAAAGCCTCTTGGTTAGCGTTGCCGCTCCCTTTTTGAATAAAGCAGAGTGGAAGAAAAAATGCGGGGGGGGGGGGAGGCGCCGCACAAGGCGGTTGTCCAAAGACCCCCCGAGACGCCTCCGCCTTCCAATCCACGAGGAAAAAGGGGCCACGGATAAGAACACGTGGGAAGAAAACGACCCCACTTTTTCTGAAAGAAGATTTGAGCTTGGATTTTAATTGCCTTTAGTAAAGTAAGGGAACAATCCTTCGGTTTCAGTGATAAATATTTGCGCCAAATGTAAAACAATAAAGACATAAAGGTTAAAAAAAAACTTACAAGAAAAAACAATGCTTCGTGATTGATTTCAGAATGTTGAGGAAGGAGCCACTTCCGGAAGTAACTTTGGCAAACTCTCAAAGCAAACTGAATCTTAGACTAAAATAAACGGGCTTCGAAATGTTCACATTCTGCATATAATTGGCATTCAAATTAATACAAGCTGGAAAGTGATTTGATCCGACTTGATCCTGTTGACAGCAGATGAGGAAAAGGGACACCCTCCAAACGCCAGATAGTAGAAGACCGGCAGCTCCCCGTATCACCTGCACCAGTCAGGTAAAAAGGGAGGAGAGCAGTTCACATAAAATCAATGTTTAGGGTGGAAAAACTTTCAAAATTCAAATGTTTTTATAATGTGCCATTTGGTTGCCCGTATCACGCCACTTCACTTGCACCCAGAAACCCAGTGAAAGCCCATCGCAAACGGCCCTGGAGAGGAAGAGCCCGATTTCCCTGGAATCCCACAGCTGGCACTCGCTGGCAGAGGAGCCTTTACAGAGGCGGCACCAGCCAAACTGGCGAGAAAGAGAAAAAGGAAACCATGACGATTTATACAGGAGGTGCAAAGGGGGGGGGGAGATTTATCAGTGCTCGGGGCCCCAGCGAGCCTTCCTCCACCCCTCATCAGGGCCCCTGAAGCTCCAGGCGATCTCAAGGCCAAGAAAGGGCCGCATCTTACAACCTCTGCGACGGTTTTGGCCTTCTCCCCCCCCCTCTGCCATTCCCGACCCTTCTTGATTTGCAGGGAGAAGCCCGCCAAGCTCCCTCCCGAAATGTCTCCCTGCGGACGCTCCTTTTCCCGCCTTGTTCTGGGAGGAGAGAGCAATGAATGGCGATCAACCACCGTTAATTGCAAATCACCAGCCACGGACTGGCTCTTTTTGAACCCGTGTCTTCACCCCACCAAAGACTGTGGGTTACAGACCCCCCTCCCCTCCTACTTTACTTCCCTTATTAGGAACGAAGAAGGAAAAGGGTTGATAAGGAGAGAAAACGGCCTTTCCTTTACCGCAAACCACCGAGGGAGGGGCTGGAGCTGGGCCAGGCTGCCTCAGGCCAAAAGGGACCCCCCCCTCTCCCTTCTGGATTATTTCGGGGGGGGGCTAATTCTCTCCTGTGCATCCCCTCCGGACACGCGTGGACCCGAGATATTGCAGGGCCCTGGCGTTGCCGCCTCCCTCCTTCTCTCTCTTCTCGCCCCTTCTTAGGTGAATCTTTGCGAGTTCCATGAATTCCCAGCGGGAACGTTTTCCTGGGCGCCCATCCACACCCCAAATTGACCGTCCTGGGGTCGCTCTAGAAAGGGCCAGGGAGGGGGCAGCGCTGCTGCAGCAGTTATATTATAATTATTTGCTGGTAATCTACAGTTAGATTCACAGTTTAAGCCTGCTGGATAGACAGGTGACCCAAGCGTCTCGGGCCTGTTCCACGCTCACCTCCTCCGAGGTTTCGCGGATTCTAATGCGGAATTTCCTCTCTCCGCCGAGCGGCCGAGAGGACGGCGGGGCTCCTCCGGGACATTTCCGTTCAATGGAGGGAAAGGGCGCCTTCAGCCTGGAACCGGGATCATTAAGGGCTGGGGTGGTGGGGGCTGATGTTCCTCCTGCGCCGTCACTACTGCATCGACGACAGAGAGGGCGAATCTGGCTTGTCCCGGGATGGGGAGAAGAGGAGGGAGTTTCCTCTAACGCTCGGCCTTCCCCAGGCCTTCGAACCAGCGGCTGCTGGCTCTGCCCTGGGATTTCAGGTGGGGCTGAGGGAGCAAAGGCAGCCGCCGCCAGGACTCCTGACTGGGGCTTTGGGAATTGGGCGCAGAGGAGCGGGTGGGAAGAGTCCGCGTCTCGCTCCGTCTCCCGGCCTTGACTCGGCAGCGCCCTCTGAGCCGGGAAGCTTTTCATGGCCCGGGGGGACGGCCGGTCCGGGCTGCAACAGAAGGCGGCTGCTTGGCGTTGAAAAGAAAAGCGCCGTAGGCCTCTGTGACAAGGGGGCTGCTGATCCGGGCTCTGGAAGCAAGGGAGCGGCTGCAGGCAGAAAGAGCCGCCAAGGCCGGAGAGCAGCCCCTGTAGCCGAGACTGGGTTTTCCCAGCCCCACGTCCCAGCCGAGGCCAAGGGGTCTGGATCAATGGTCTGGATCAAGGCAGCGTCTTGCTGTCCGAGTGGAGCTTTTGGTTCTCGCAGGCGGAACTGGGGCCTTGGGGAGGCTGGGAGAATGGGAGTCGCCTCCTCGGCTTCCCTAATTGGGAGGGAGGAGAAAACCGAGGTGCGGGCGGTTTCTCCTTGATATGACACGCGACCCGCCCCCTCCCACTGGCCATGGCCTGTCAATCACTGCTGGCAGCCACCAATCGGAGGGCTGAGGCCGGAGGATTTTGGCAGGCGGAGATGGCTTCTCAGAAAAACGCCTGCAGCTCAGCCCCCGCTCCCTGCGGTCTCCGGGAGCAGCCCGTGCCTCTGGGTTGGTCCGGGTAGCGCTCCGACGGGCCCCCTGCAGGCCCCCTCGCAGAGCGATGCTGCCTTCCGCAAACGTGGGGTGGCCTGGCTCCTGGCGTAGCGCCCGAGGAGCGGCGCGCCTGAGTACGGAAAAGGGTTGCCGGAGGGCTGCTGGAGAGAGTCGCGCTAACTGCTGAGGGGCGGGATGGAAGCCCTGGGGCTGGAGCGGGAGACGGGATCCGCACCGCCACAGCCCTCCGAGCCCATTCGCTTCGGAATCGATCAGATTCTGGGCTGCCCGCCGCCGCAGAGCTGCGTCGGCGAAACAGCAGCCCTCGAGGGCCACGGGGAAGCAGACCTTGCCCGCCAAAGCAGCGGCTACGAGGCAGAATATGGTCCCGCGTGCTCCCTCGGGGCGTACGTTCTTCCGGAGGCGTCGCCGGGCGGGGTGATCCGAGTGCCCGCGCACCGCCCGATTCCCTCCGTGGCCGTCCATCCTCGGCCGGCGGGAGCCAGCCTTCCCTTCCCTTGGATGGAGCACAGCAGGCGACTGACCAAGGACCGGATGGCAGGTGAGTGGCGGCCGTGGCTCGGAGCCCTCTGAGGAAGCCATGGCCCCAGCAAATTCGGCCAAAGCCGCGGGGCTCGGAGGCTCAACTGTACACGAACGCTCGCAAATGTGGAGAGTGGCCGTGGGTTTCCAGCACTGGGGAGGAATGAAGCCCAGGCCCTCCGCACACCGGCCCAGAGGATTTCCTGAGCGCAAAGGCTCGGCTTCGCTGGCCGCGGAGGGTCGCGGAGGGGAGAAGGCCATTAGAGGAAGCCTGTTCATACAGAGCATCTGGGACTTTCCCCCTAAGCTGCCCTACAAACTAGTTTTGGGAGCGGGCGGGAAGAGGCGACCCGGCCATCCGGGAGCGGCCCCGAGGAAGCTGCTTTTGAGGCTCTTGGGAGGAACTGAAACCGCTTTCTTGGGGGGGGGGGAGGGGGAGGGCGCGTTTCTCTCTCACTCCAACTAGTCTTTGCTAAGCAGACTCGCATTTGGGCGAGGGGCGCTGGGACGGCGCTTGGCTCAGGCTCTCCAGGCTCCAGGGGCGACAGGAAAGTGGGGTTCTTCGAGCACCCCCACCCAAGAGTCCCAAGCGCCACCAATCTAGGGAGCCAAGGAGCAGTTTGTAGGTCGCGCTGCTGAACGAGCGTAAGGCCAGCCGCCGAGACTGACCGCCCGTCTCTCGTTCTCGGGGGCAGAGGGGACCTCGTGGGGTGCCTCCTGGGGAGGAGGATCCTGGAAGCGGAGGCCTCTGTAGCCACCAGATCGGTTTCGGCGCTTCCGGATCTCAGGAACTCCGCTCTCTTGCTCTGCCCGTAGCCGCGTTGCCGCCCTTCCCCGTGGCCAGGCGGGTCGGCCACCCGTATCAGAATCGCACGCCGCCCAAGCGCAAGAAGCCGCGGACGTCCTTTTCCCGAGCGCAGATCTGCGAGTTAGAGAAGCGGTTCCACCGGCAGAAATATTTAGCGTCCGCAGAGCGAGCTGCCCTGGCCAAAGCGCTGAAGATGACCGACGGCCAGGTCAAGACGTGGTTCCAGAACCGTCGCACAAAGTGGAGGTACCGGGGCGGGGAAGGGGACGGGCGATCGGATGGCTGCTTAGAGCGATTCGGGCGACCGTGCCGGGAGGGGCTGCGTTCGGAAAAGGGAGCACCGACGCTCCAGCACCGGCAGAGGGTTTGGGGTGAGGGGCGGGGGGGGCGGGCGGAACGGGCGCTCTCTTCTGCTCGTGCTCGACGTTTCCTTCCCCTTACCGCTTCCAAGCAGCCGACTCCGGCGTCTGCTCGTCGGTGCTTTCAGGCGCTGACGCCATTCCGGTCTCTCCAACAGGCGACAGACGGCGGAGGACCGCGAGGCGGAGCGCCAGCAGGCCAGCCGGTTGATGCTGCACCTCCAGCCGGACCCCTTCCCGAAGAGTCTGGGGCAGCCGCTGCAGCAGGACCCTCTCTGTTTGCACAACGCCTCGCTCTTCGCCCTGCAGAACCTGCAGCCCTGGGCAGAGAACCACGAGGTTACCTCAGTCTCCGGAGCCGCCACCCTGGTGTGAGCAGAACCGCGCACAGGCAGCGGGGCTCTTTCGCGCGCTGGCAGAGGCGTCCTGCACTCCCGCGCCGCTCACTGTCAGGGAGCAGCTTGCTGGGAACTGAGTGGATTCTCCCGAGGCCTCCGCCCAGACTCCGGGTGGCAAGGAGGCCTGCAATAGTGGCCGGGTTACCGGGCAGCTGGACTGTAGCCAGCCTCGTGTGCGTGCAGACCGCACCCGCAGAAAAGGTGGGGCTTGGAGAGGGTTGAAAGCTGCACGTCCCCCGGCATGGGTAGTGCAGGAGGAAGTGGAAACCCAACGCAAAGCAGGCGGGGAGGAGACGGCCAGCCCATTCCTCCGCCGGGCGCTTCTCACGATCTTCCCTTTGAATGCCTTGGGGCGTGAGTGGGGAACGGGACGTCCGCATCTCCCCTTTCAAAGCCGATCTCCCCCCGCCAAAGTGAGCCGTTCTTCTCGTGGAACTTCTGCCCAGGGAGCCAGATGCAGATGAACGAGCCCGCCCTCTTTGGATCGGCGCTAGCTTGCAAAATGACTGCGCGGGAGGCAGAGGCGACCTCCGGCCCATAGCACGGAGCCACCGGAAACCACCAGCCCAGGCGCCCGTCCCAGCCCGCGCGGAGTGGGCTGCCTTCGGCGTCACAGCCCTCCCCTCCTGCCAGCTTCACTCGGGGAATCCGCGGCCGCTTTGGTTGTCCCTGGCTGGGCAGAGGCTTGGCAGGGAGGGCCCGGGCTCGGGGCCACCGGCATTCCCTCCTTTCGAGGTTTGCCTCTTGCGGGCCCGGCTATTGGCCCTCCAGCGTGGCTCGCTGACTGAAGACTGAACCCGCAGAAGGAGCCGCCGACGGAGCTCCCTGGGCTCGTGGACTCCTTTGGGGAGCGAGGCAGGATTTCGGGGTTGAGGCTGACTCTGTCCGGCAGCCGCAGGAGAGAAAAAACGGACCAGGCGGAGTTGTTTGGGCCTGGTGCGCCCCCTGGCGCCCAGGATAAGAGCTGGGAGGCAATTAGGTTACACGGAAAAGTGGCACCGCTGCCCATTTGCTGCTGCCAGCTGATTGGCCAGGAGGGTGAGATCCTGGAGCAGCAGCAGCAGCTCCTTCATTCATGCCCCCTCCTCTGCCTGCCCTTTGGTACAGGAGCAGGAGCGCAGGGGTGCCCTTCTGGGCAGTCCCGCCATCCTGCACAGAGACAGGCCTCCTCCTTGAGGCTACAGGGGCAGCTCCTGGGCATTTTAGGTGCTCAGGGACCATTTCCGCTGGAGGCTCTTGTGGATCCAGTTTGAAGGAGAACCATTCCTGTATTGAAACCATCGATCACTGGGTTCCCCCTCTACCACAGCCATGGACCCCAAACAAGGGGAAAGCCAAGGTTTTTACTGAAGGTGAGGGCTACAAGGTGGAACATCCTAGCCTGGGCGACCAATCTGGGCCATCTGGGCAGGTCCTGCCTGGCGCCTGGGTGAGGTCTGTGATTGGGCACAGGGGAGGATTGGGAGGGCAGCTGAGTTGGGGAAGCCCTCCCTGAAAGAGCGTTGAGTTCATCAGCTGATGAGGGAAGGGAAGGTTGGGGTTCTGTGGGTTGTTCTCTCTCTTTTTTAGCTCAGTTTGGCTCTGATAGGATTCGGCCCAGAGGGATGAGCTGGACTGGAGCCTGTGGTGGGCAGAGTGCCGCCTCCCTTGGGTTTGTTCGGGCGTTCCCCACCGCAAAAGGCAGAGTGGAAAACCTGGGGAGGGGCGCACTCCCAGGAAGGACTTGGGCTCAGTGCAAGGCCGCATCACCCCTTTTCACCAGGAGTCTCGAGGAGGATTATTCCTTGCGGTTCCTTGTGGTTCTGGTTCTGCTTTGCAGGGTCTGGCGTAAACATTTGTGCTGCTGGAAAGGACAATTACTGTTCTCTATTATTACATATGTGTTAGTAAAAGTTTTAGGAACAGTAATAAGAACTACAATAAATTAAATCAAAACAGAAAAGTGAAAAAGAATATAAGAAGCTGAAAGTGCAATGAAAAATGAAAACTAAAAAAGAAACAGAAAGAGCAAAATATAAAGAAAAATATAAAGATACAAAGAAATGGCTCGCAATATTTTTCATAGCAGTTATAAGTGCAATTATATTTTAACATCTCTCTCTCTCAAATTACACCATGTCTCTGTTCTTTTTATGCAAAAAGTTTATAAAAGCCTCCCAGTCACCAATAAATGTAGATACTCTCTTTTCTTCTACTCAAATAATTTATCCATTTTAGCAACAGTCTTCCTGAGTGAGTTGAGTTAAAGCCTTCCATCTTTGTTCATATAATAATATCTCCATGGCGGTCATATATTGAAAAAAATTCTTCCATCATTTTTTCTGTTTATATATTAATCCTAAAAGGAAAAATTCTGGCTCCAATTGAATACTGATCTTTAAAATCCTCTGAATGTATCTGAGTCCACATTTTAAAGACTTATCTACATGTTCACCAAGCACGATAAAATGTCCCTTCATGTAGTTCACATTTCCAGATATTTCTGAAGTACCTTTATACAACCTCAATATTTTCTCTGGCATTAAATACCAATGATGCATCATTTTATATAGATTCTCTCTGAAGACAATAACAAAATGGAAATTTCAGTCTTTTTAACCACATGTTTTTCCATAGATCCATCTGTATATTTTAAGCAATATGCTTACCTCATCCTTTTTTCTCTTATTCCTCTGTACATTTTAGCAATTACATGTTCATAATCATACACAATTATATTTCAAATTCTCTTACTTTGCTCCATTCCATATTTTTATCTATTTTAAATCTTTCAAATAATTGTAAATGGGAAACGATTGACAGGTATGCCCTTCTGCTATTAATTGTTCTCTTGGTTTGATTTTAAATTCCCTTTGATAATTTTCCAATGTCCCAGTATGTTAACCATATTATACAGTGGAAGGGAAATGGCGGGTATATTTGTTTTCTATGCCTCAGCGTGAACTTCTAATTCTAAAAGTCTCTTATTTCTCAGCAACCACCGTTGTTTTATCCAGACCAAAAAACAAGCTGCGAATATATACAGTAATTCTGATAAACATTTTTATTTAACATATTATATTTCTTTCCCTTGCTATACAACTTTACACATATTTTTTGTCATTGTTTAAATAATTTATCAGTAACCAAAAAAGGTATTGTCTGAAATAAAAATATAATTCTAGGCAATACATTCATTTTTAGCACAGAGATTCTGTCCAATATTTACAATTTTAATTTCTCCCATTTTAGCATGTCCTTCTTAATTTAATTCCTTCTTGCAACATAATTTTGAAATTATAATTATCCTATTAATATCCATGTTTGATCTTCCAATTTCATATTTTTGTAAACATCTTCAAGGTCTGATTATTAATCTTAAAACCTGTTTACAATACCACATTTTCTCATTGATGTTTCTACCTCCTTCTAGTGTATCTTCAAAATTAACACCAAATCATTCACAAATGCCCTTCTTCGATAAATTTCATTTTAGCAAAATTTTAGAACATGCAGACATCAGTGTTTTGTTCATTTTTGACTATCACAGAGTTTTGTTAGTTCTCCATTAACAATTGTTTGTGCTTTCTGAGTAATACGGTCCTACCAATTTAATAAAATTATCTCCAAGGTTCATATCTTCCAGATCTGTAAACAGGAAAATCTAATTCAAATTATAAAAGACCTTCTTTGCATCTAAGCGTATCAGTGCTTGTTTTTTATTATGTACTTTCAGTTCTCCAGAACATCTAAAATATTTCTAACCATCGTCTTTTAGATAAAAACCTGCATTGATCTTCATAATTAAAGTCCTGTAAAATTATCTCCAATCCTTCAGCCAAAATTGTGAATGAATTATCTTTACTGAATAATGACTATACATTTTTTATAATCGCTATTCAATAAAGTCATTGGTGATTTTTTTTTTTTTTTTTACTAAAGTCAGTCTTCTGCCTCTTTAGATTTTATGCTGTATTAGCCTCTTTCCAGTTATAGGATTAGGAATCTTTTCATTCTGTAGAATAATATTGTTTGTTGTAAAAACTAAATGCTCATCCTCAAAACAGTTTTACTAAGAGGCTGGCAACACATCTGGATCAGGTGCCTTTCCTCTTTTAGTTTTATTAATAACTTCACAGAATCCCCCTATTATATGTCCATTCAAATATTTAATTCTCTGTAATCTTCACTAAATTATTCTTCCACTTTTTCCAAGGAAATTTCTGGTCCTTTATATAAAGTAGTATAATACTGATTAAATACTTTTTGTAGATTTGCATCATCTCTAATTACAGTATTTTCTTCTTGTAACTTTAATATCACTTTTTTTCTTTTTGCATTTTATATGCCAATGATTTCTCCGATTCATTTGCAAATTCAAAATTTCCATAAAGAACTGATTTAATTAATTTTGCTATTTTAAAAAGCATTTTTATCAGAAAATAAATTCCGTTTGCTAAAGCATCTGTCCCCTTTACCCATTTAAAACATATTGAAACACAGTTTTGTTTAGCTTTCTGGTATTACGTTAAAAAAAAATTCAGTTAGCATTTCTTCTTCTTTTTAATTCCAAAATGAAGGTAACTCCCTGAGAATCTTTGCTCTTTACTGCTGTTCGAAATACATCTTTCAGGTTGTACATTAATAAAATTGATGGCTCAGTGGTTAGAATGGAGGCTGATGGGTTTTGAGGTTAACTCACTCTTCCATTCCTCCGACTGCTGGGAGCAACACACACTGACATTGTAAACTGCTGTGATGTTTACCGTTGCGGGGTTGGGAGCACCGGAGCTGGTCCGCAGGGAAAGAAGCCTGGACTCGCAGGCATCCCACCCACGCAGGAGCTCCTTCCAGACGGCTGCTCCTGCTGCTGGAAGCCTTGCTTTCACTACGTTGCCCCAACGGGGCTGCATCCTTGAGAAGGATTCCGAGGTTCAGAGAAGGGACCGGACCCCCCCAAAGAGGGAGAGCTGCAGAGGCAGCCGGGGATGGCTCGGG